TCTGCTCCCGTAAAGATTTACAGCCTCAGAAACCCTGTACAGGGTCGCTATGAGTCGGAACTGACTCCACAGCACATAACAACAACAACCAAAAGAACATGGAGTCCTGTTGTGGCTACATATGATAAGCACTGGACCTTCAGGTCAATTTGAAATACAAGGTCAATGACTCAAACTCACCAGCCACTCCTTGGAAACCCTATACATGATCGCAATGAGTCAGAACTGACTCGATGGCACTTAACCACAACAACCAGAAGAACAAACACATCTGTTTTAGATGAAGTATAGCCAGGATGCTTCTTAGAAGCAAGGATGGCAAGATTTAATCTCATGTACTTTGGACATGTTATCCCTGGAGAAGGGCACCATACTTAGTAAATTAGAGAATCTTTGAAAAAGAGTAAGAGACTCAAAGAGAAGAACTGATACTGTGATTATAACAATGGTCTCAAACGATTGAGAGTAAGGAGTAAGTAATAAAACAGTGGTTTTGCTAAATTCTGTCCTGCAATCTCTAGCATTATTTCTATCACCAAGGCCCTATTTTCAACTACCCATCCTTCCTCACTGTTTCCAATTTAGGCATTCCAATCCCCATTAATTCTCAAAGCATCTTGATTGCATGTTTGATCAATTTCAGACTGAATAAGTTGGTTGCTGTTGTTAAGTGCCATGAAGTCAGTTCCAACTCATAACCACTCTGTATAGGGTTTGCAAAGAGCAGCTGGTAAATTTGAACTGGTGACCTTCAGGTTCAAACCTACCTGTGGTAGACTGCTTATCCTACATTTCCATATCAAGACTCCTGAATAAGTTGGTAAAATTATTTAATTTCATCATCACTTGGTGGCTCTGTCAGATACACACTGGACTGCTAAACCACGGCAGTTCAACCCAACCCACCACTCTGTGGAAATCCTACATAGGACCACTATGAGTTGTAACCAACTCGATGGCACTTAACCATAGCAAGTTCTTTTTTTTTTTTCCTTCAGCTGCTTTAGTAGAAAGACGCATTTTGCTTTGATCAATATAACAAATCTATATGATATAGTATTGGGTACTCCAGACATCCAAATATAGAAAATCATTGTGATGTGGAATATATAAATTAAGCTTTCTTTTGTGAGGAATATCTCCGGAAGGGAAAACAACAACAAAAAATACAAAACTAACATAAATGTAATCAAAATGTTAAAATTAGTGGGGTAGGTTTCTCACATTCAGTGCCTGAATGAATGAAAAAACACAAGACATGTGAAAAACACACAGATACAAAATCTGAAGGGCCACTGTAAACTGAAATGAATTAGTTAAATTAAGGAAGTTTTATCTAGACTTTAGGAAATGCTCCTCTTCTTTCATATATACCTTTCAACCTGAATTTTAAAATAAACTGTACCTTGGAAATGAGATACAGGTCAATTTCTTTTTAGTTAAATGTACCCTTTGCTTATCTGCTCTCACTTTCCTCCCTATACCTTTCTACAACGTCTCCTCTGATAAGGCCTAAATTCCATATTTTTCTTCTTCTTCTTTTTTTTTTTTTGTGTGTGTGTGTGTGACTTATTTACAGAAAATAGAAATGAGCCTTGTTCTCAAAAGACCCTATATACCAAAATCCACCCAAGTCACATCTTTCTAGCCCCTGAGCTTCAACCTGGTGTTTGTGACATATTAACTTTCCTTAGGAACTCAGAGATTATGCTTTTTTGGTGTTGCTTTCCTGGATAAACTTTAAGAAAAAGAGTAGAGAAAGCTTTCCTGTAAGAGAAAGTACAGATTTCTGGAGATGAGCAAGAAGTTCTTATGCCTGGTAGAGGAAATAAGTGAGTGGGACAAATGGACATAATGAAATAGATATAATTCTCATCATCCCTGAAAGCTCATAAAATTCCTCTTCACCCCAATAAATCCTGCCCTTCATCACCGAAAGTTGGGAGTTCAGTGAATCTTAAATCACCAAAGCAAGTCCCTCTACAGGAAGTGCGAGACTGTGTGGAAAGCCCAGGGTCTCATAGGGATGTATGCAGAGGGTCCTCTCTCCTGCTGGGTGCTCTAGATTCACCACCTGCACCTCCACCAGCTGGAGCCTCCCTACCTGAAAGACTAGACAGGGACACGTTGGAAGGATCTAGCTGCCATAACTCCGGGAGGAGTTACGCACAGATTTGCGCACCTCTAATCCCGCTGCGAGGACAGCTGCTTGGCTGCCAAGCCCGCACACCAGCACCGCACACCGAACCTGAGTGAGAAGGAGCCAGTAGTCCTTGAGGTCATAGGTTTGAAACCAAGTAAGTTTGGATACTACCGTGAGCTGTACTAGAGAGTGGTTGGAGGAGTGCATCACTATTTCCTGGAAGCCTTACCTCTATCCAGGGTTATCTCAGCCCCACTGTAGTTCTGCCTGGTGAATTTACTCTTTTGAAAGAGTTATCTGGCCCACTTGAGGAAAAGCCCAGCAGCTTGGCCCCAACCACCAACACCACCCAAATCATCTCCCTGTCTACTACTAAATACAATGAGAGAGAAATCAGAAGAGCTGTCTGATGATCTGGAAACGAAGATGGGGTGGAAGGGAAAAGATGAGAAAACAGGAAAGGAGAGAAAAATACAAATAGGAAGATATGAACAACAACAAAAAAATGTAATTCTTATACAGTTTACACCTGTACTGAATGGAACCTCTGAGATTCTTCAAAAATAAAGAACTTCCTCCAAATTGTCCTTGGGACTAAAGACTGGGCACTCTTTCTAATAGGTGCTGCCATGAATTTAAGATACTAAACATTGCTAAACCCAACTCTGGAATAAATCATTTGAAATGTTTATCACGTCTTCTGTCTAAACGTGTCCAGTTTTTCAGATCACTGTCTTCTTCCAAGCAGATCTCCCCTAGAGTGTATATGTTGTACACTCTATATGTATATGTTGGAGGGAAAGTGTTTGAGGTTTGGTTCTTCTTTAAAAAAAAAAAAAAAAAAATTCATTTATGGAGTAGAGAAGGAATGCACTTTGATGTTTAGTGAAAAATGCCAGCCTGGTTCATTAGCAGAAGGTACACAAAAACCAGAAGAAAAAGGGAAAGGATCTAGATTTTGTTGTAGTTGTTTCCTCCAGGCACCGCTGGAGGTTAGGCTCTGGGACTGGGGCAAGCTGAAAACAAGGTACCTATGTGTGTACTAGTCTCCCGGTAACCTATACCTAAGATTTCGCCATTCTAATGGCCCTTAAGAGTGGTGCGTTTGTGCGTGCCCATATATTCCATCTCAGCCTAACCAGCCAGGCTGTTTTTGATTTTTAGGTTGTTATTTTTTTTTAGAGTACCAGCTGGCTTCCAGTGACCCAGACTCGGAAAAAGGCGCCTGTGGTCCAAGGAATAAACCAGCTGCCCCCCTTCTCCAATCTCACTCCACTGTATTAATACTGGCTTTGTAGAAGAGCTAGCAACTTACTTAACATATTGGCTTCGTGGGATCCATTGACTTTGCCATCCGGGTAGATCTGCAGATGGAAACCGATGCCCACTCTGCAGTAGAGACTGCCGGTCCGGCGCCCCGAGGGGCTCCACTGGAAACTGCTTTGCTCTGAGCCGCTTCCTTGGCTGCCCAGAGAAGCCGCCGGGTAAGAGGAGGCAGAAGAGGCAGAAGAGGAGGACGTTGTGCTCCGGCAGCTCTGGCTGGTGTTGGCGCTTCCCAGGCTCCTATCTGTGGCAGCGGGTCCGGGTTGCCCTGTGGGGGCGAGGCGTTTCTCCCCGTGAGCCCAAGCGCTGAGGATCAGGTGGCTGAGGACGAGGAGGAGGAGGAAGGACAAGCTCATTCTTCCAGCCGCGGGGGTCCTAAGTGCATCTTGCAGGGCTCGTCCTGGGCTCTGTAGCCCCCGCGCGGTGGCGTGACTTTAGCGCTGCCCCCCTCGCCGCACCCGGTGGACATAGCCTCGGGGGAAAAGGGAGGGAGAAGGGGAGAGAGAGGCCACCCGAGCGGATCTCAGCGCTGGCACCGGGATATTTATAACGCTAGTGATCTCACTGCTCTGTGTACGCCTGCGAAGCTTCCCCTCACCCGCCGCTTTGTGTACTCACTGGCCGGTACTGGGAGGGAGCCCCGCGGCCCCGGGGGCGGGGGGGGGTGTAGAGGAGGGAGGAGATGGGAGAGAGTGAGTGGGAGGAGAAGCTGGCGGAGCGAAGCTGCACCCTGGACGCTTGGTGCGCCCACACCAGGGCCACGCACCCCAGCAGTTCTCACGCACAGCCGGGCCACCTCCCAACCATGGCCAACGCCACGCGCAATTCAGCCTCACGTAAGCAGTTGAATCTTCCAAGGGTAGCGGAGGGAGTAGGGGCTTGAAACACCGAAATCGGTGCTCAACAGCATCGCCCCCTTCTTCTCGCCCTTTCCTATCTCAACATCACCCTTGGGTCCCAGCAACCGGGAACCAATTGTCAAGTTTCCGTCCCTTTCTTCTGTAGACCCCGCAATCACAGTTCCTCTCCCGGGAATTTCTGAGGAACCAAGACTTGCGCTGGGATCCAACCGCGCAAAGTGCTTTCAGATGCGAACGAAACAACGATTCGCAGCTCAACTTGGGAAGCCTTAGGTGTGGCGCGGTTGGTGGAAAAGGCTGTTTTAGTTGTTGCTGGGGGTTGTCGTTGTTACTAATTTATGTAACAGCCAAAGAGTGTGTTTATTGCAACGTTTTGAGAGTTACCTTGATCTTGACGCTACGATTCGAGCTGCTTTCCTGGTGAAAACTCTAGAATGTCTTCAAAGCTATGCGGAGTTTGTTTTTCTTTCTGAGAAGCTCTAGGTCTGTCCCGTTCGTAGAATGACCGCACACGCACACCGGCGATCGGTGCAGGCAAGAGGGGCAAAGTCTGGGCACCAACACATGTAACTGACCGTCCAGTTGACCTCGCTCTCCCCGGGGTCCCCTTGGCAGGAAGGATTAACTAAAGGCTCGCTTCAGCTTACTCAGAGCTTCCATTGACTGTAGAACCGACCCCAATGAATGATTAATGACGCGCGCGCTGGATTTCAACCTCAGGGAAACCTGAGAACGGAGAATTTCCCTGTATGTAACTCCTCAACTGTTATTTATCTGAGAAACATACCTGACTCGCATTCTTGGAATATTTCTGTCTGAAAACATATTTGAAACTTTAAACTATGCTCTGATACATTATGCATTGGTAGTTTAATGAAAAGACCGTGATATTGGCCAACAAAGGTCAATTGGTGTAAGCTAAAGTTGACGCAAAGATATGGTCTTATCCTCTATTGAGAACTCACTTAAGGATTCCACTCTCAATAATAAAAAGCGTATAAAATGCACGTCGTTATTTCAGGATCGAAATTCTTCTATGATTAGAGTGCTTAAAATATCAAAGTAGCTGTAAAAAAAAATCATCTAGACGACACAGTGAAGTTTTACGGGGAGTAAAAGGACACAAAACACATAGATATGAGTACCATGGGGCATAAAACCCTAGACACACCATAAAGACTGCTGTTCACTAGGATGAATACTTCCTCTCTTTTTTCACTGTTCTAGGTTTAAACTCATGTTTCAATCTTAACTTCTATGGGTGGACAGATACTAACACAACAATCCTGAACGTGGACATTCAGAGCAGACAGGAGGTGCTCAGACCAGTCCACTTGGCTGAAGTTGCCTCCCTCAGGAATAGTTATGAGAGATACTGAATCTAGGCAGTACACGCTCAGGATAGAGCCGCTAGGGTTTAAGGCACCATCAGTGTTGCTGGATACCATCAGAAAGTTAGTCTCACAAGTGACAACAGTCTCCCAGCAATGCCTAAAGAGGCAAAGATTTTCAAGGTAAATCCAGCTGCTTGTTTCCCCCCCTCTTCTTTCCGAGTAGCTGAGAGAACAGGATAGTGGTTCCCTTGTCAAAGATATCATCTGTCCCCTCTCCAAACTGGAAAAGACCAAGAAGACTTCTTGAGCTGAAATTCTGCCTCTCTTTTCTTCTTCCCCTCAAACTCGTGGGCCCCACATGCACAGAACCTTCCTCATAACAACCCAGTTGGGCACCATACCTTCGACTAGAGGTGACCCAGGAAGGGCAAGACATCTGCTTGGGTATACTTCAACATGAAAGGTGACAAGGCACACTTCAGACTTCTCTGGGGCCCTTCAGGCAAAGCGTGAGGAATTCAGGGCTCACTTAAAGAAGAGAAGTGACCAATTCTTGTGGGCAGTGATCTGAGTTTGGCAAAGCGTCTCTACGCCCCATTATCGCACATACTTGTGCGCTTAAAACAGACCTAGAATATGTAGCTTTAAACTTTAAAAACGTATAACAAGAGGATTTTATATATATTCGTGCCATTTAAAAAAAAAAAAAATGCCGGCAAAGATCTGAAACACGAAGACTATTCTACACGCTGAGCTACCAGAAACCCTCCAGGTTACACAGCTCAGCAGATGGGAGAAGTCTCCAGATTGTGCCTGTCGGGTACTGAGCCCTCCCTAACCCGCGGTGCAGCGGGTTTCTGCGGAGCCAGATTCACTGTAAATCTGAAGTCAGAAAAATTTCATTTTACTATTTCGCTGCACTAGCATAAACTGCACCCCAAAGACAGCACAAGTCTGTTCCACCTTTTTCTCTGGTGACTTTTCAGAAAGTATAATCCCCCTGGCTGGGGACTTTCCCTCCGCGATCCTTTTATAAGCCTCCGAGCTTGGTCAAGGTCACAGGACCAGCACAAACAACTGGTGCGCGTTCGTTGCTGATGTTGTTAAGTGCCATAGAATCGGTTCCGACCCATAGCGACCCTGTATAGGTTTCCGAGGAGAAGCTGGTGAGCTTGAACTGCCGACTTTGCAGTTCAAACGGCTTTGCAGTCTGGCGCATTAACCCACAGCGCCACACCACAACTCCCATTCTCGCTCTCTTCAAGTCCCGGAAACAAGGTGGGGAAAAAGTGCTAGAGTCTGGCCACCGCAGAGGTAACGTGGACTTGTCATGGAGAGACTTTCCACCCAGCGCTACAGGACGAAAACCATTAACCTACCCAGCAGGTCACCGGGGCTCTAAGCTTGGCTGCGCATGCGTCAGATCTGGCTCCCACCCACTCGGATAAGCCTTCCAAGGTTTTGGCAGTAGGGCACTTCCTTTCCTCTAATACTCGGCTCCTCTTTTGTAGTTACAACTTCAACCCAGGCACTGGAGACAGGGATCAATTCAAAGACAGATACAATTACTTGTATTATAAGGTCAAGACTCAAAAGAGCAAGGAGGTCAGCACAAACAAGTCTGTACTCAAGCTTCCCTTCACACCACAAGTAAGCTCACTATTTACAAATCTCCTCTGGCTGTTAACAGAGAATGGAACTCACTGAGGCTAGGGTTGTTGTTGTTCTTAAGTGCTATCGAGTCGGTTCCAACCCATAGCGACCCTGTACAGGGTTTTCGAGGCTGTAATTACGGGAGCAGAAAGCTTCGTCTTTCTCCCGTGGAGCAGCGGTAGTTTCGAACTGCTGACCTTGCAGTTCATAGTCCGATTCGTAACCACTATGAGCTTCTTGGGAGGCTAGGGTACATCCTAGTATATCAGTGCTAGGAAGGGCAATAGTGAAAGAAAGTGAACATCTCCAGGTAGTGCTAGGTAGTATCCCAGAAGATCTTCCAACCAAATCCATACTCAGATCATTGCTTCAAGTGCCTCATTTGAGATAAATCCCTTCAAAGTGTGAACATTCTGAAGTTTACCTGTTCTGAGGTTTTACTAAGTGAAATGAAAAACAAGATTTGGTCCAAGCAGGCAAGAACCCAGAGACTTTAAGAATGTTTTCAAAAATTTTTCCTCTCTCCACTTCCTACACACTCTTCACTCCTACACATAGAATTATATACAACTTTTGCTAACTAGGTACCAGATGACCTCACAGTAAACTAATGGAAGTCCAATTGCATTGTGAGAGGATTGAGGAGCTGACCTGGCTGAGACCTCCCTTTATTTCCTCCAGGCTTGGCTTCTTACCAGCTAAGTTGGCAACAACTACAGCAACAAATAGCCTGAACAGTCTAAGAAGAGTGGGAAAGAGCAACTGAGTGAGGAGGAAAAAACCCTGAGACTAATCAGAGTGTTCATGGAAAGAGAAGATGGTGTGATTAGAATACCTGCAGGTCCTGATGTTAGAGTACACCCCTTCTACTCCAGGGAGGCAGGTATTGTGTAAAAGCAACCAGCAGTTGGACTTTTGTGTCTGAAGGCAACCTAGTTTTTGTTACTAGGTCTTTTGTGGCCTGAATTGATTCAATAAAATCACTTACTTTTTCTCATAACTCAACTCTTGTACTTTGCAGCTAACCTGTTTCTGTTGTTGTTAAGTTCCATTGAGTCGGTTCTGACCCATAGCAACCCTGTGTAAGGTTTCTGAGCAGCTGCTGGTGCAGTTAAGTTGGTCGAAACTCATAGAGATCCTCCATGCACAACAGAATGAAACACTGCCCAATCCTTCATCATCATGTTTGAGCCCATTGCTGCTGCAACTGTGTCAATCCATCGCCTTGGAGGTCTTTCTCTTTTTCACTAACCCTCCACTTTAGCAAGCATTATGTCCTTCTCCAGGACTGGTCCCTACTAATAACATGTCCAAAGAAAGACAAAGTTTCACTTCTAAGGAACATTCTGGCTGTACTTCTTCCAAGACAGACAGATTTTTTTGTTCTTCTGGTAGTCCATAGTACTTTCAATATTCTTCAACAACACCATAAGTCAAATGTGTTAATTTTTCCATGGTCTTCCTTATTCATTGTCCAGCTTTCAATGCATATGAGGTCATTGAAAATACCATGGTGAGGTCACTTTATTATTTTTGTTCTTTAACACTTTAAAGAGGTTTTTTGCAGAAGATTTGCCTAACGAAATACATTTGATTTCTTGATTGCTACTTCCATGAACATTGATTGCAGATTCAAGCAAAATAAGTCTTTGACAGCTTCAATCTTTGTTTC